ATGTACGTATCTTTATACAAACAGCTGATGGGATAACACTGAAGAATGTGTGTAACCCCCAACCCCTATTTGTTATTCTCACCTCAGTGATAGACAACTTCCCTGGATAGCTTCCCATTTCGCTCCCGCCCTTCTGAAGACGTTTCTGCACGATACTGTATTGTTTTCGTACCGCCAGTTTCAACGGGAGACATTGCCAGCTTGACAGGCCGCGACAGCTCCCCCTGAAAGAGATGCTCCCGCCAATTTGCTCAGACTCTGGCTGTCGATGCCCGACAGGATTGAAACGAGGCCGAATCCCTTGCTCAAGGGCTCCGAGTGAAGCATGGCAGTTAGTCCCAGGATGATGACTATCAAGAATGGCTGGATAGCAAGCACCATATACAGCCAAGGCGATTTTCGTAGCGTTGGTCGCTTATAGAATATGATCTGCTCGACTTGGTCGACTCTGTACTTGACTCGGACGTCTCCGTACGGTACCTTAGTCCCGTTCTTCAGCTCCCAGAGCGTAGAACTCATATTGAACTCTTCCGAGTTGAAGGCTCCCGAGCCTTTCATGACTATGTTCCTCGACCACAGCATCGCAGCGACCGATGTGGTCGACCGATGTGGTCATATATGGCTTCATCCAACGGGACTGGATGCCTCTGTCACACGTTTTGTTGTTTCCGCAGAATGGGCCTATTATTCCCATCAAGGGGGGCATATACCAAGCTCCTAGCGCAAGATATGTGAACGTAAGTGGTAACTGCTGAGGCCAAGGCAAGATTGCATCGTCGCAATAGCCGCTCAGCAGCTAAAACCACCTCGTGTGACTGACTAAGTTCCGTTGTATTTATGCCGGTAGGTGTTGTATAGATAGAGATGCTTCGAAAGGGAATCACAATCCGAATTAGTTCGTGCCAGTCCGATATACTGTACAGATTGGTCTGAGTTAGATCTCCGGTTCACGAGGCTGAGTGACCACCCGTTGAACATCTCTTTGGTATCGATGTCCCAGGCGACTTCTTTGTTCATACAATAAGACACGAAGTCGCTTTCGAATGCTTATCGTGACGAGTCCTTCATCTTATTGAGGGTGGCTACTGTCCCTGTTACCGGTGCAGTGATGGTCCATGATTCACCTATTGCGAGATGCTCCTGTATTGCGATCACATAATCTGCCTGAAGAGTGTCAAGTGCCGCGGCGCTTGTTTCATTCAACAGCAGAATATTGTAGCCACATGCGCTCGGCAGCGTTGGTAAAGGCGGCTCAGAGCCATTCGAGCTGAGTTTCGTGGCTTCTCGAAACGCCGTGGTTGTGTTGAAGAACCCAGAGATGCCGTTGAACGAAAGTATGCCGGGCGGCTGGAACATGCCATAGCAGGTCTTGTTGGAGATGTTGCTCTTCTAGTAAGCTCCCGAGTGCATGCTACACAGCCTGGCAAACCTTGTAACTAACGTTCGCACAATTGCACAATTGCAGTCATTTCTAATCTGCCGTCGCGAGAAGTACCCTCTATGGGTCATACTTGATGAACGCATCATGCGATGAGGCCTAAATCCAGCCTATCGACTGCCAGCAACGATAGCGTCAGTACATCCCTCTCTGCTTTTTCTTCAGGCAGCTCTCCTACATTTCGAAGTTATTCAAAAGTAACTTATCGGCAATTCAGTATTATCCTTTACAAGAGTACCTATATTGATATGTCATCTAGTATTCCATGGGATAGCCCGATGAGATGCTTCTTAAAAGTTCCCTGGAATCTGTATGACATATTAGGGGCATTGGAATTAGGGGCATTAACCCCGATTTCATCTAGTATATAAGCATGTGTTCCAATACCGTGTAATGTCGGCATTGAAACGAAGATTGGTATACATATATCAAGGAGTAGTCAATTATTTACGGCTATTATTGCGACTTCGCTTCAATATTTGAACTTCATCATCGCCGCACACTAAGCGCTGCATTCAATGTGCAATCTTTCATGACTGAAACATGCTACTCCAGCACTTCAATACGTAAAACGCAATGCGTGGAAACGTGCATCTTTTCTTTATTGAGCCAAGCCTCGCGGAGAAGATTCTCGAACCCCTTCATCTGATTTTGTCCTCGTTCAACTCACTCTGACTTCCCGGAATTCCTCTCTCGCTGAAGCAAGACGTCAGGCTGTCCAGTCGCCAACAGCGTTGCGGGCAGTCAGCAACAAGCTCTTAGACTTCGTCACTATTTAGTGTTAACCAAGGAAGCATTGCCGCTGTTGTCTTCGTACCTGGTCAGCAATTAGAACCCAGCAAAATGTTGCCACAGGTGATGACACGCAGCAACGGGCATATAAAGGTATTGAAAGTAGCTGGTATTAATCCAACCAGAAGGGAAAAAAGATGGCAGTCTATGTACTAAGCGAATATGGGATCCGCGTGTTGACGCGCATGATAGCTTGCCTGACGAGTGCTGAACCATCCCTGTTCCGTGATAGATGTTATATACCAATCTCGACCGTACGAATATTTGGGACATACGGGCAACTTTTCTTCTCTGGATGTTGATGTCTGCTCAGAAGAGTGGAAATATAGCAAAGGCGCTAGCGGTTTGCCGGTGGGCTGCCGGTGTCTCCGATATTTGGCGGAAAATTGATTGCTTCCGGGGAAGGTTTCAGGCGGAACTGAATATTTCTTGACGTTTGAGGTCAAACTCTGTCATGTTGTGGCGGTGCCATCAGTGGATATACGAGTAATGCCGACTGAAGAGGATGCGCAGTCCGCCTCATTGCATTATTTCTAGGAATTGATGACTATTCAAGTCCGATCGCTCGCGCATATCGACATTTATGATGAGAGAACTATGAAAACTAGTCTCCGAAATTAAGATTTCGCATGTTTTGGGTGGAGTACGAATCACGAGGCATCAGAGTAATGAAGAATGATTGTAGCTACGGCTTTCACGGGAGTTCGCTTTCGTAATAAGTTGCCGGTCGAATTATCATTGAAGTTATTATCGTAGCCTGAAACATTTGTCCCATTGAAGAGAGCGAAAAAGGCGCACTAACCAATGTCACGAACCCTCAAGTACTATATACTTAACTAAGGGCTCTTGACTATCACGTCAAATACTCAGCCTTCCTATTGCAAGAGGCTGAGTTGGAAGGAGAGGTTTTGAAATCGAAAGAAAAAGGAAACGAGTATTGTTGAGAAAGTGGACTCATTCAACATCAATATCGTGTTGTTATACGATGCTATTCCAACTAAGGACGGCCTTGGGCCTAAGCAATGAGGGCTGAGGCAAACCAAATTTCTGTACCAAGGCCTTCCTATTTGTTTCACAAACGTGGTAAGCAAGCTATTGAAATGCTTGACAAAAACTCTATTGCTACCCTGCTGACTGTCTCGTCGTCCGGATGAACTACCTTACTTGTCAGTGTCCCAGTGCGCCGGTCCACCAGTGATGGCCGAGAGTTCGTCTTGACAATGGTGTCGGAGTGCGAAAACAAGGGGGTTTTCGCGTGCAGAACAGCACTACAGCATACTCAATGGGCCATTTGCTCACCAGAAGAGCTTTTCACTATTATGCTATTATTTTGAGGTATCCTTGGCCGGCACTTTCCAAGGCGTCAACCGTGCATTGTGTCAGATTTGTGTCAGCTGTCTACAACATCAAGTCAGGCCACCCAGAACTAGACAAAGGTCTAAAAAGTCCCCTGCTAAAACTTACCCTAGTTGAATACTTCTGGATTATTCTTTCAGAATGCCTATTTAAGATGAGCTGCGCATTCAACCCTCTCTCAAGCCTTAGAGGATATCTAGTCAATACATCTATTCAATCCCAATACAAAGTTATCAACAATTCTTTCTTTTAATTTTGATTGACTTGTGTTGAATTGCAAACGCCTTCGTTGACCGAAACTACCTGCTATATCATTACAGAATGCAGTTCTCAACCATACTCTTTGCGCTTTTTACAGGCGTTGCCTTCGCTAGCCCAGCGAGTCTCGAAACTCGCCAGAATACAGCTGTACATAGGCTATGTCCCCGGCCTTTTTTTACGCAAACCCAGACTGACAGGTTATAGTGTGATCTGTGCCGCAAAGATTGCTTCTTTGGGAAAGGGAGCAATGCCGTCTTTGAGAAATGTTTGAATACATGCAATAAGGACTTGGGTTGCACGCTTACACCTTAACAGCTTCAAGGTATGGTTGCCTAAGCTATATTTCAGATGCTTGATATTGGCTGACACGTAGGACTAGACATATCCGCGGGATGGAATTATATATACGGACCTCAAGATAAGCCTAGTCTAGATCTTTGGTTCACTCAAAATTGCCAACTCTTCTTCTTTCTCAGGCTACTCACGTCGCAATCTTCGTGATGTTATTGTGTCCAACAAGTGCAGCGGTAAGCAGCATGTCGAGATCGCCGAACAGGAACTTAAGACAGAACGTGATCTAGTAGCCGGAATGTCTGCTAATGGTCTATGTTTCATCAGACTGAATATGCAAACACCCAGTGCCCCCAAAAAGATGATCCAGTCGAGCTTTAGTGCTGTGTTAACGTTCTGAGATGGAGACATAATAAAGCTTTTGCCCTCATTTGACGCATAGAATCTCAAAAAATTCAAGGACAATGGTCCGTAAGATACCTATTCCAACAGTTTGATACTCTTCCAGTAGGAGACATATGCCCTGATCGAGTTTTCCCCCACCGACGTCATATTAGCCATGGTCGAACTCACATTGCGGGAATTGCTGGTGTCTAGGACAACAAAACCACACGACATTTTAGAGAAATCCTCCCGAAGAAACTGTGTGAGACCTGCAGCAGGATTGCCTGGTCCCGGCACAGCATCCACTAGGTCCAGCCAGGTCTCGAGCGGGATGATGGACGAGCTGCTTATCCGTAGTTCCTCAGACATCAGTCTGACCACTTCCTCCCAGCTCTGCCGGGCTGGGTTCTCCAGATGGTAGACTGCACTGAGCGGTTCTTGATGGAAGAGAATCTCGCTGAGGGCTTCGGCAGCTAAATCAACCGGCAGCCACGACAAGGTCTAGCAATTTCTGTTAGCAAAATGGAATCACCCCGATGTTCAGGCCGGCGGAACGGCCTTTAGTCTGGAATCCGAACTTACTCCACGCAGGTCGGGGAATTTCCCCAGCTTTTGAGAAGAAGCACATACGGCTACAAAGTGCTCAGAAGCGTTCCAGTAGCCGGTGCCAGAGCCGGCAATCTGGCCGACTCTGACCACCGCCGCCTCGATCTCGGGATGGTCCTGTACCGTGCGTTCAATAATTTTCTCGCAGACAAGCTTGGCTTTGGCATAACCGAGATCTAGCGTCCAGCTTTGATCCTCGACGGACGCCTCGGGAATCAGTGCTTCTCCCTTGATCAATGGGTAGTTCCCCACCGTAGAGATGGAGGATATCAGTAACAGCTTTGGCTTCTGTGTGAGGTGAACTCTTGCTTGGCGTGCCAGTCGAATGAGGTTCCGCAAGCTTGAGAATGAAGTCTCAAACGACTGTAGACCCATTTTGAAGTTCATGGGCCACGCAATATGTACGATGTGAGTTACCCTAGCCGCGAGACGCAGGTACTCGGCCTCTGGCAAGCCGAGCCACTGATCTGCAGTGTTTGTCTCGTGAACTTCCAACTTCTTCCAAGCGTTGTCATCGACAGAGATATTTCGAGATGTCACCGCACGTTTCTGAGCCTCTGTGGGATTTCCTTTCCCAGGTCTATTCAAGCAAATGACATTGCTCACGTTATCATCCGTAAGGAGCCGCCCAACGAAGAAAGATCCGAGACTGCCAGTGCCGCCCGTGAGCAATATCACGGCTTTCTGCTGCTCTCGGTGATTGCCTCCGCTGGAATACTTGTCCACCAGCTGTTCGATAAGCTTTGCTTCGGTTATGACCCCGTTTGTCTTCGAAGAACTGGGAAATAGTGCCTCAACCAGCCTATTTATAGAAGGGTTGCGGTAGACGATATCGTCTTTAATCATCCCAGAGGCGAGGACGTTGGCTGTCCCAGGCTTAGCGGCGGCATGGGTTGCGCGCAATGAAGCCGTCAGCAGTCTCCGTAGTCTCGTTGCCTGAAGGCTGTCCATGCCACGCGCGAAGAAATCATCATCGTCCTGCCAATCACTGACGTTTCTCAGCCCCATGACGTTTTGGGTAACGAGATCTCTGATACTGGACGCGGGCGAGGATACATCGATTGGTGGAGCAACCATGCTGGCCTCGAGATCGCGGTAGACTGCCGCCATATCATCGGCAAACTTCCTTGATACTGCGCTCCGGAGAACGGTACCTTTGTCTGACCTTGGGAGCGCTTCGGGAGCGACGACGAGAATCGCGGTAGGCGACGTGATCCTTGCATGAGCATCCATCCGACGGCCAGCTTCCTCGATCGCCGGCCAGATCGATGCCTTGAAGTTGTCCATCTCGCCGGGCCCGATGAGTCTGACAGGCTCTACAATGACACCGAGCTCGAACTGTCCTTCTCCGAACGCAGTTGCGTCTCTAACATCATCCTGCTGTCTGAGCAGAGATTCCAATATCGTTGGTCTCACCTTCTCTCCGGTGGCAAGACAGATCAAGTCGTCTTTGCGGCCCGCAATCACGAAATCTAGCCGTTCCACCTCATTAGCCGAAACGCATTCTGTGCGTGATACGATTATATCCTGTAGCTCGAAGCGCTCCTGCCATCCAAACGGCTTCATGCTCAGCTTGTAGCTGTAAGATCGTGCAGCTTCGGAGTCGGCCTGTGCACTCCCTTCTGCATCTGCGTCGATGAGTTCAAGCTTCACTTGAAGCGGCCCGAGTATATCAGCACGCAGCCGTAGTCGACGCCAGTCGTGTCCCTTGCCAGGCACAAAAAAGGGTGTCATTGGACCGGTCTCCGTCGCACCGTACTGGCCGACGAGTCTCACACCCGAACCTTCAAGTCTTTCCCCGACCGAGGTTTTAGGTCTGCCGCCACCGAAGCCCGCGTAATCTAGCTTTCGAAGGACGTCATGTCCTTTCCCATCTGGCAAGCCCTCAATCTCCTCCAAGATAGATGGTACTGTCAATAGCGCCTTTGCTTGGGAGTCCTCTATAAGGGCTGCGACGCTGGCACCGTTGGGGATAGTGGAAGATACAGGGGCGCAAAATGTCTTGCCGATATTGAGGGACAGGCAGACAGATACAAAGCCAAATCCCTACCTCTAGAATTAGCTGGGAAACTGGGAATATTATCTGTTGCTTCTTTAACTTACGTGAAAGAACGGTAGTGTGGAAACGGTCAGCCCGTGAGCCTCTGCGGTCGATTCGAAGTTGTGGCATGTGGCGTAGCTCAGAAAGTATTTATGAGAGCAAGATATTGGTTTTGGGAGACCGGAAGTCCCTGAAGAGTGTAGGATGAGAACCTGGCGGTCATCTTCCGAAACATAGTGATCCGCATCGGCCGCGCGAAGGGTGTGATCCTGGTCTTCTGCGGGCTCATCTGCAAGAAACGACTCATAGCCGGATACAGAGCGGATCATCGTTAAGCTTTCATCAGGCATCTCTTTTTCATCTTGGCACTCAGCACCCACCGCCTCCGAAGCTAGAGGTATAAGGCGGGGGGACACAAGAGCAAGTTTCGCGCCTGTTTCGCGGATGAGATGTCGTGCTGATGGCGCACCTAGACGGGCCGACAGGAGGACAACCGGCACGCCCATGCCCATACAGGCGAGCACGCAGATGACCAAGCCAACATGGCTCTCCATGAGCACCGCGACGGGAGCGCATTTCTTCACGCTTCCATCGGCCTCAATTTTGGGTGGGTGAAGACTGGGAGTCTGTTCCTTGAGCCATGCCTGACAGCAGATGATGGCGCGCTGCAGCGTCTCATAGCTCAGGGGCACAAAGTTGTGACCGGTTCCAGCCTCATTTACTTCGGCCTGGAGACAAAATAGATGCTTGGGATTGTTTTCGGCGTGGAAGTCGACCAATTCAGGCAGCGTTCGCAGGCCGGACGCCGAGCTGGGCTCTAGGCTCACCTTGGGCGTTCTGAAAGACGACATTTGCGCATAGGTATCTGGTTGACAGGGAAAGATGGATGGGTAGGAAAATTTGTGGGTGGCAGCCAACGCGTGTAGTCAGAGGTAGTATGCAAGTGGTACCATCAAGAATGACTCGATACTTGTTGTCACCCTCACTACAAACAACAGTGTGTTTCAATGAACCAATCAGGTGTACTTGAGCCCAAGTCGGGTTCCTGAGCCGGGCGCAGGAGTGGCAGAACTCGGGTCCTTGCAGAAGCTCGTGGTCTGGATTCACAATGATGTTGATCAAGAATCAATGGATGCAAAGGCTTGGCACATGACTAGAGCAACATCGAAATAAGAAGAAAGTATGATATGCTGTCAAGACGGCTTTTAAGAGGAGTTGTCACGAGTTCATCTTTTTACGACTATATTCGTGTATGTGAGCTATGTACATACGTATTTTACACTTCTCCTGAGATTCATGAGTGATTATTGACGGTGCAGTTGATCTTGAGCCCCGCACTGTGCTTCATGACACTTCCTATTATCTCGTTGGCGATTATCGGGTCTACTTGGTCCAGAGACAAAGTGACAAGACCCATCTGTACATTATCCTTCGCCGGATTCTCATCGCGGGCCCCTGGCCTGAGAGAAGCCCTTGGAGAAGCCTCACCTTTGACTCGCTTCCTAGCTCTTGAGCTATTATTACCGTCCGGAATTCCAGCCATGTTGACATCAGAACTTCCATAGCCGGAGTTGTGGAAGTAGTGTTGATCAGTGGAACCCTCATCCCACCATGAGGGCCGTGATTCCGGTGAAACTGAGGTGTCAGCCTCAAGCGAATTGAGCCAAGACATCCAATCGCTATCCGGAGTCTGAATAGCCGAGTTCAACGATGAATGATCTGAGGTGCCCACGCAGCTCGGGTCAAACATGTTGAAAGTGCTACCTGGCGACTCCAGAGCGGGTACTGCCAAGAATGTGTCTGAATGCTGGTAGTTTGGCATGATCATGGACGCGGCCCCGAGTTCTGTTGCCTTCACTGTTTCTTCGGACAGAAGACTCATGTCAATCAGGAGCTGATGCTTCTGATCTCCTCTTGGTTCGGCCATTCCAGACTCGGAACCTTCATCAAATACATCGTCGCCGTCACCGTCACAGCTCTCCTCATCGTTACCGTCAGGGCTGTTGTTGGCCATTTCCTCGTCATTGGCATCCGGTAATGACTGTGGAGAGGAATTTGAGCTATTTGATTGTGCATGCCGACTCCTGCGGCCGAGAATGAGACTTCTGCGAGTCATGGTCAGCTGTAGATCCATACAGATGATGGCTCAGATTTCTCGACTTGCCTGTTGCGTAGATCATGGGTGGAACGATCCGGCAGCTCGGTAAGACCAATCTGCTTCCAATTGTTTCCAAACTTACTCATGGCGTCTAGCAACTTCCTATCCTCCTCGGGGGTCCAGGAACAGTGCTTGACGTCGGGTCCCAACACGTGTTGCCAACGTTTCGCGCATTCTACAGCAAGGATGTATCTCAGCACTGAGGGGAACCAAGGGTGGGATGTTGACGAGGATGATTTCTGCTTACGGTCGGCATTTCTACTTTGAACCATGGCCCCTACTTGTGACCATCTACGACAGATGGAGGTTAGCAATGATGAGTCCCGAGAGATGGGAAATTGGGGGAAGTGTGTGGTGAACCAACTTGCATCCGAGTTGCAGCACGGCCTTCTGCAACCTCTCGTCTTCTTCTTGTGTCCAAGCACCTTTTCGGATGTCGACTTGGATCTTTGCCCACCGCTTACGGCAGTCTTTGTTGGTGCGGCCTGGTAATGATAAGGCGATGTCGTTCCAGTTTTGGACGTTCCCGCCTTGGCGCACTGGAAGATGGAGATCTTTGTTAGATTCGGCGGCGCACGTAACAAGGGGGAGAAGAGGTTGGTACTTTTCCCCTGCACCTCTCTTTTGAGTATGTCATCTTCTTGGCTTGTCCACCATCGTCGTTCTCTAGTAGGAGGCATGGTGTTCTCCGGATTTTCTGTAGAATGAAAGACGAGGTGAGTAGATGCCAGAAAGCAATTTATGACAAAAGACTGAAGTCTGAAATGGTCTATAAAGGTTCACCGTCTGATTCGCTCTTATGAAGTAGGCTTTATCGCATGAGAGCTGGTATGAAGATAGATATATGATGAACGAAGGCGATGGTTAGACCGCGCCTCCATCGTTCCCCAGTGCAGCCTACTTACCGAAGACCCCCACTGTGCCGCGCCCTGGCTCGCAAACGAAGGAATCAAATGAGCGCAGTTCTGCATGCAGAATCTCGGCCCAGAGGCTGGAGCTCGGTGTATTCTGCAGCAGCGGTAGCGACAATAGGCCGGGGTCGCCTCTTTTGGGCAGAAGAGACGAAAGGCCAATACTACCTGTATGCGTCAGCCATCACTCACCCCTACCTAGACCACTCTCAATGGATCCCAGGCAAAAGGAGGTTTCTTTTTGGTATTTAGTCGAGTGGTTTGGTGCGACACTTTGCAATCCTTCGAGTTTCTCAGATCGGGTGTATCTGCAGCGTTCTAGATGAGCCATACTATCATATGATTTGATGCTGCGACGGGCGCCAAAGGACTAGCCCTATACGGGGACCTAAAAAGCCAGAGTCACATTAGGCAGCTCAAGAAAGTGCACAAGAGCCGCTTAGAATATGCTCAATTTGACCCAAATCCTGTCAGACCACAGATTTCGCCATAGGATTTCGTGCATGCATGGGTGATGTAGATGTTGCTTTCCCCGTTTCGTCGTCACCTCAACCCACCCCGCAAGTTTACGACACGTTTCCGGATCAAGGGTCCAATTCCTCCGGGGAACGACGGATAAATCAGACGAATGTTCCCGACCGGCGAGGCACGGTACGCGAGCTCATGCTGCGCTAGCTATATGTCAGATCAAGGTACAGGCCAGTCTTCCCTTACTCAACCGTCGCCTGCGGGCGAGCTGGTTGGCACGGGAGGCATCACGGAGCAACTAGCGACTGAGTTCAAGCTGATAGCTAGGCAGAAGACGTCTTACTTTTTGGAAATTGCGCCTGAGAAACATGTTGGTTCTTGGCGCTGTCGAGGGTATTAGGAAAAAGGGTCTGAATCTAGATAGACAAGGACCCCTTCGGACGCATGGAGGGAGGATGATCTTACGGGCCACATGCAGCACGAGGATAGACTACGCCGCAGGCCAGAGAAGATGGAAGGTATTCAATGAATCATTGTTCACACAGAGGCAATCACGCTATCAGGGCTTGAAGTCTTCAACGTGCATATGCAGGCACGGAGGGAGCCTTGGGCCAAGCCGCCAATGGGTGGCGGACGGGTAAGGCGATATGACCCTGCTCCCTGTTAATACACCGGGCGGCCTGGGCCTGCACCTGCAGTCGCCCGTATGAAGTACTTCGGTTGAGGCTGACGGGAAGCACGCAAGACAGACTACCTTATTAAGGCAGCTTGAAGTACCAAGGGTTCAAGGATTCTCTAGGTATGAAGGATTCAATGCCCTTCATGTGCACATCTACGGATACATATAAGCTGACAGTGGAACCCCAAGGTGCCTAAGTTATCCGAGGGGTGGATACTCCCATCTTATATGAGCACTCTTCATTGGACGGAGGTCCGAGGATCGAGGTACTTGATCTTTGTATTTCCCCGTCGGCTTCCCGAAGAGGCAATCAATATCTGATTGGCTCGGGCTGAAGGCCGGCAGGGGGGACCGGTCCGTTGACGCTAACCCCGAAGTAGGAAGTAATATCTAATTGGTTATTGGGAAACCCCCACATGGCGGAGATACAGATCTGGCCCCTTGATTGGCCGCTTCTGACTTATACTTACATCCAAACTGACCAAAATGATGCCACGCGCGTTGGATCGATTGTGATTCCGAGACCGTGCTGGAGCCTTGACATTCTCTTCGTGTCTGGGAAGCTTCGTAAGATGCTGCCTGCTTGGGATATAAAGGATGAATGCCGTGTCGTGAACACGCAGAAATCATGTCTTCCGGCATGAACAAAGCTCCACACATCGACTTTCCTGAACCCATCTCAGAGTCAGCTTTCTCTACCTTTTCAGAACTCTTCACAATAGTTTGTAGTATCCTTTAGCAGTGATAGCGAAGATGGTGATGCTACGGTTGACCGCGGAGCAGTACAGGAAGCTCCCCATCCTGGTAGACGAGTCGTCCTGCGTGGGAAAGACCTATGTCATCACCGGAGGCAATTCCGGCTTGGGCCTGGAAACTGCGCGGCACCTCGTTGCTTCCTCCGCCGCGACGGTTGTTCTGGCCGTGAGAAACCTCAGCGCTGGAGAAACGGCCAAGGCAGACATTGAGAAGTCGACGGGACGCAAGGGCGTCGTACAGGTAACTTTGGCTTACCCCAAACACCGACGGCCGAGAAAGACAGGCTGACAGTATTACCCTCGTGGCAAAAGGTGCGGCATCTGGATCTATCAACCTATGCTGCCGTTCAAGCATTTGCCAATCAAATTTCTCAGGAGCTGGACAGGATTGATGGCTTCGTTTGCAACGCCGGCATCATGATTGACCAGTGGGAGACTTTTGAAGGCGTCGAGAGCAGCATCTTTGTCAACGTCGTCAACACCTTGTTCCTCGGATCCTTGATGATGCCCAAGCTGATCGAGAGCGCTCGTAAGTTCAGCATCAAGCCAACGCTCGTCTTCATCGTCAGTGTATTGGGATACACCGTCAAGGCGGAAATGGACAAGAGCCGCAATGGGAGCGTCTTTGACGGGCTCAACGACCAGAAGCGCGCAAACATGGACTCAAGGTACGTCAGAGGAGAAGCCGAAGAAAGAATAAGCGGCTTGTGGCGAGACTAACGTAATATTACCAGGTACGCTCTTACAAAGCTCGTTGAGGAATGTGCTGTTCGTCAATTTGCGGCCCAGTTTCCCGTAGATCGTACGGGTGTGGTCATTACCATGGTCGCCCCTGGCCTTTGCACCACCGGACTGGGGCGTGATGCAAGGACATTCACCAAGATCATGCATGAGGCGGTCCGGGCCATGATGGCACGCACAGCGGAGGTGGGAAGTCGTACCATCCTGCACGGACTGGTGGTCGGCGAGGAGGGTCACGGAAAACTTCTTTCGGGCTGCAAAATCAAGGAGTTCTGGGTGCCGGACTGGGTTAGCAACGATGAGGGCCAGCGCTTACAGAAGACGATATGGAAGGAACTCGTTGCCAAGCTAGAACAGGTGCAGCCTGGATGCATTTCTCAGATTTCGTAGATTTAGTATTTATCCTTAGGAAATTAGGTCGTAGGGGATATAAGATACCCTCATTAATTCACTTTTCACTTGAATGCAGCTTCTTCTGTCAAAAGCCTCATATCAACCCACAACCTTGATAGCTGATACTGGTCTATAGATGTCGACTGATTTCCGATAGGACTGATACTCAGCACTACATACGTAGGTCATGGTAGCTAGATATATCATGTGCGTCTCGAGACACATCAAATCATATAGAATTTCCAAAGGCACGTATCGAAAGTGGAAATGGTTACAATCCAATCAGAGTCCTCGGTTGCTAGCCTTCGATATGACGCCAGTAATAAAATTGGAACACTAAAGGGAAAGCCAAGTCAATATTCAGCCTTCATTCGTAAGAAAATTGCCTGTTTCGAATTATTCTGAGTTCATCTGACAGTTACTATCAAGTCATGTATGCTTCAATAACAAATAGTAAGTCCTCAATGACAATGCTATGCTAATTGTTCCCACACACTGCTCAGTAACTACTACGAGGCACTCTCCCCCTTCTAGATGTCCAAGAAGGCACAAAAGATTCACTCTTAAAAGGAGCTATCTCAATAGGAGACTGCATCTTTGGAAGAAAATTGCCAGCCAAGTTTTCGTCGTGGGCCTGCAGCTCAATCAAGTCCTCCACGCTTCTGACATGTCTCCCTGCCAGCCATTCACGCCGCTTGCCGGTCAGATGGACAATGACATCGCCGCATCTGACATTAATGACTGGTAGATATTAGCATTGATTATCATAAAGTCAAAGCACTTTCATCTTCTGAAAGTGTCACTAGCTCGACATACCTTGCCCCGCGACTTCTAGCACTCTTCCTTCCAAATCGATTTCTGGGTTCACAGAGTAGACCAACAGGCCCTCGTGGGCGTAGTCGAGCATAAGACTCTCAGAAAGCCGCGTAGAAGACAGCACTGACAATTGGCTATCGTTTGCAGGTGCCGCAGGATTGGCGGAGAACACAGGAACCGCATTCACGATCGTCCTTTCGGAGCCGCGTGATAAGAGAGGCAGTAGGGCTCGAGCCATGAGACTTATGCCCTTAGCGTTAGTCTCCCAGACCTTCCACCAGGTATTCACGTCTCTTAATCCAATTACATCGCCCTGAGGGATGACGGTTTTAGACGAAGAAGCTGCGATGTTGACAAAAGTGTCGACATGATCCCACATTGAGCTCACCTCCCGCACGCCTGCCTCGACGCTCGCGGCATCATAGACGTCGATGGTCAAGGCAAGCACATCGGGCGTCGGTTTGCCGACGTCGATAGCTGCCTGAAGAACCTTTTCGCGGGTATCCGAAACGTCGACGTGGTCAACGATGGCGAGACGGGCAATTCCCGCGGCGGCAAACGAGATTGCAGTCGCTTGTCCGAGTGTACCAGCTGCTCCAGTGACCAAGACGGTCTTTCCAGTGTATGTTGGAATCTCTGTGGCTGAACCCATGGCTTGCTATGTATTCTTCCAACGTTAAGGTAGGAGAATGGAAGGGTCGGAAGAATTGTGTCCGCAATTTCGATGTCACCTTTCAAACAGCTTGATTCACCAAATTATGATGGGTTTGGTTGCGCAAATTAGGCTACACTTGATTTCCAGCTAGGCATTCGACAGGTTCCGGTCTAGTACGGAGTATGCTCTGCCGGAGACTAGTGCCCCGCAGCCTGGGACCCGAGTTCGATTTGTGGGACCCGGGCCCGAGTTGTCAGCCCAGCGGACCCGAGTCAACGACCAAGAAGCCGAGTAAGCTACAGTTTCTTTGAGGACCTCGATTCAGGCTTAAGTGATGCTATTGTTATCATGTTCTTCGCTCTGAGTTCCAGACCGGTCCCACTTTTCAGAGGCCACGCGAGGCGATTCGCTAGTTCGGGCGGACCGGGAGGGGGCGAGGATCTTGGGACGAACGGCCGCTTCTGCGACCCCTCATCGTCCGAACAATCGATGCTGACCACGGTGCCCTTGCAGAATTACCTGAAGTTCCCCGTCGTTCCGTTCAATCTCACACAAGGACTATCCGCTCCAGGCAGGCACTCCTCGGAGATCGTCTCCGGTTGATGCGACTGGCTTCTCAGTCCCGAACGGCTGTCACGGCTTGGCCCTAAGCGCTCAAATATTCACATCCCTGTATTACAAGCTTCATAGAGTCTTGGTATATCCGCTTATCGGAACGCAAGGATCGTTGAATGCGGCTGCCTTCGAACTAGTGATCCCTCAGGGACGTACTCTATGCCCATGGATTGCGCCTCTGGGCCTCAATCCAACCAAAATAAATCCCATCTCTCCAGGTACGGCTTCCAGATTGAGATTGGGCGCTCATGTTTAGCTTATGGAGGCCCCCAAATGAGAAGCCATTCCTAATCAGGTTGAGAAGGGCAGCGGCTGAGCCCTGACTGAAAAATCCTACGATGCTCTCATCCAAACTATCACCACTTCGGGGCAGACAGAGGAGCCTGCGTCGCGAGAGAGCGCTGCGCCCCATCACAGGAGCGAAACGGTCTCTCCACGATGGCTCTACAATGGCTTCATTCTTGAAGTTTGGGGGCCTGAAGGCTGAGGCACAGCAAGCCACCATCGCGAACGGCTACGACTGAGAAGAATATAAAAGTTCAAGAGCCCCGTTTTGAATTGATGTCTTTTTGATGAATCATCCACAGAACCTGAACAGCAACAAGTCTCTCTCGTGCGCTTTAATTCCCATAGTAGTAGAAATGGCCCGCCTCACGATCGTTCAAGCCCTGCCGGCGCTTCTGGCCATCGTCCAGACGGCATCAAGCACGCCCCTGACTTTCTCAACATTGTATCCTCGCAACGATTCTCAAATTGTATGGCCGACGGAAGTTTCTAGTCTGGTACACGACAAGACCTGGGCTGGCTTCGGCGAAAAGACGACACGTTGGTCTTCCTACAAGGCCCCTACCTTTGACGAAGTTTTCCTTCCCGAAACCGAGGAGCAGCTTTCCCTCGCTGTAAGTTAGCACATCCAGCATTGCACCATTCTGCTGGAACGACCTGCGGACGGCAAGAAGCTTTGACTAATACGGTATCGCGTACGTAGCTTGAATATATGTCCGGTAACAACATGACCTGGCTAGCCAAGTCTGGAGGTCACGGATATGCTCCGTCTCTCCACGCCATCCAAGACGCCGTCTTGATCAACTTGGAGAACTTCAACTACGTCAAGCTGCAAGGCGACAACACAGCTGTTGTGGGGACTGGTGTCCGTTTCAGCGATCTCATCGACACCGTAGCGGCCGCCGGACGAGAACTGAGTAAGATACACCACAATGAGAATGATGTGCCTTGAATTTTTTAACATGAGATAAAATAGCTGTGGGATCATGCCCATGTGTGGGTTCAACAGGCGCGATGTTAGGCGGTGGCCTTGGACGTCTTCAGGGCCTGCACGGCTTGACTAGCGATGCCCTCCGCAAGGTCCGCTTGGCTCTGTGGAACGGCACCATTATCGAGGCTTCCAATAACGTCAACTCTGATCTTTTCTGGGGAATCAGGGGGTCGGGCCAAAACTACGGCATCGTTATCGAGTCGACGTACGAAACCTGGCCGGCGACGAACGGAGGAAAGCACTACAGTGCAGACCTCGTCTTCACCAAGGACTCCGTGCAACGGGTAATGGAGATCACCAATGAGCTGACTGCGGAAGGTCTGGATGAGAAGCTGGCCGTCCTCATGTTCTTCGCATTGGATGCTACGACATCTCAGGTACGTCAGCGTGTCATTATCAAGCTCACTACTATTGTTCCTTGCTAACCTCTCCAAAGATCACCGTCATCGTCAACCTAGTCTATTCTGGACCGGAGGAAGAGGGCAGAAAGTACACCGAGCGTTTCTCTTCCTTCAGTGTCGATCTCCAAGAGAACATGCTGGGCTGGGAAGAGCTGCCCACGAAGACGGTCCACGGTCTCATCCCGCAATCCTGCGCGACTGGACCGCGATACAACCTGCGCGCCCTCAACACCAAGGTCCTTAACCCGACCACCTGGGTCAACTTCACCGACGCGTTCGAGACTTTCCTGGTAGCAAACCCTCTCGCTGCCGGCTCGGCTATGATGATCGAGACCTTCCCCGTGCAGGGAGTCAAGGCGCTTTCCGACGACTACTCGGCTTTCCCTCACCGTGACCACTTTGAGAACGTGATTGAGTCAATCGGCTCGTACACGGATGACTCCGTTGCCGACGCTGTCAACAATTTCTTCGCGGAGTGGCGCGATAGGTTTGCTGAGCCCAGCTCTTCCGGCTACGACAAGCTCTACGTCTACCAGAACTATGCCAACGAGGACGAGCCTCTGTCGGCTCTGTATGGTTACGATGAGTGGCGCCATGAGCGTTTGACGGGATTGAAGAACAAGTTCGATCCTCAGGGCTTTTTCAATGGATATCACCCTGTTCCTTCCAACGCGGCGGCCTGGAGCTAGAGTGGCCGTCATCTGTCAAGAATCTTCTCGAGGGATGTATGGGCCTTTAACTTGTTACAAATTTTATTGCATATGATACGACTAAAGCAGTAGTACCAGATTAATATCAAAATTTATCTCGTGAAAAGTAGCCAATTGGCCACATGATATGAATGAAGCTATAATCGCCAGCTCAATGTTTGTTCTGAGATTGCTTCCACAATTCAATTTATCTCCAACATCCACTGCCAGTCTAGCATCGATTTTGAAGAATGAATATGTGTAGACTGTATAAGCAAGTTTTTTATTTTTATTATATATATATATATATTTATTATAAAAAACAGGCTTATACTTGTATCACCATAAAGATGTGTTAAAAGGTTCCAATCCTCATGATTGGAGCGACGTTGGATCAATAATGTTGTAGGAGATCCGGCATCAGGTTAGCGTGGTCTAAAAATAGCACATCCCGTTGTAGACAGGCAACAGTTGAGCTCATGGCTTGCCAAGGGAGAGTACCCCGCCTACCGTAATCTTCACTACCGACATCGACCAGACCGTTCGAGCGACCACGATGAGCCCTGCGTTGGTGTTCATCGAACAGAATGCGGCCGGGATAGGCAAGTCGGACCGTCGCACCCTTCGTTCTCATGTCATGAGGGGCAAGAATGCCGGCAGACCACGACCCTCGACGCGAAGACAGACGAACAATGTCCCCATCAAGCGTCAGCTGAAGATACCACGACGGGTGTTCTGGAATGACTTCTGTCTAACATCGTTCCCCCAAGAACTCGATCCTGACTCCACTCGGCTCATGCATCGGTGTATGGCTCGCCCAGACCCCTACCACCGCCCTAACCTCTATCCTGATGCTTCTCTAACTTGCCTGCTTCCTCCAGGGTTCCTTGACATCAGTGATACGCTGTTTCCTCCCCAATTCTGCTACAAGTTCGACATGTTGAAATCGATTTGGGTCAACTGCATACTGGTAGATGAAGCATGTGAGTGACTCATGCGGGCGAATTTCCATTTTACATTCAACTCACCACTGCCCCAGACTTTCACTCGACCTTGGCCGTGTCGGCGTCATACGTCGACTTCTTTGAAAGAAAGCCTACCACGTCGTCAAAGACTTTGCATCACATATGCCAGGCTTATTCGTTGGTCAACCTCAAACTTTCTGGCCCCCAAGCCATATCGGATAGCGCCATTGCTGCTGTTGTCACCCTCGCCATCTACCAACAGATTCACCAGCAACACTCCACCGGTCTCGTACACCTCAAAGGGCTTCATCGAATGATTGAGTTGCGCGGGGGTATCACCAGATTGATGAAGGAGAACCGTCCATTGGCCCTCAAGCCACTCAGGTATGCAGCTTCTTCCCAATCTGACATCCGATCTCTGAAAGACAGAGCACTCACAAACAGCAGACTCGATATTGAATTGGCCATGCAGAACGGGTCACCCACGATGTTTAATAGTCAGGATGTGCCCGTAACAACTGTCTTATGCGACTCTGCCACCGTCAAAGAACAACTCTCTGCCTGTCCCCCCGGGCTGCCCCGCATCCTGCTAGATCTCATCGTTTTCGCCGGCGTCCTCAATGACAGGGTGAAGAACGGACGAGCCAAGCTCAACCCCTTAGACTACACAGAGACGCTCATATCACTCCTTTACCGTCTCTTGGAAGGTGACCCTTTCAGTCAGCCCCTACTTGCTTCGGGAGGCCTCTACGGCAACGCATCACGTCTCGCGATGCTGGCGTTCATGACCGGCCTGCTTCCCAACTACTGCCGTGATAACTTCAGTTCATCGCTTCTATGCACTCGTCTAGTGGACGCCGTTCGAGAACTCTATTCGACGCACACAGACGCGCGAACTGGCGATGTCTCACTGCTGCTGTGGATTCTGTTTATCAGCGGTATCTCGGTCCTAAAAGTCAATGACCACAGCTGGCTGCTATTTGCAATCGCGGAGACTTGCGATCGTGCAGACCTGCGCGACTGGGCAACAGTTCATCATCATCTCAGCGGGTTTCCGTGGATATATACATTGCATGATGCCCCCGCGCGGTATTTATGGGAGGAAGCTCATCTTGTGAAGTTGGAGGATCATGGCACCGCACTTTAGCCATCCGCAGAACTGGCTCAATGCGTGCTTTGGAAACTAATTGTTTGTCGTTCGGAACTTAGCTAGACATTCCTAGGCGGAGAGATACCGCGCTTTATGATACAACTCAGGAGAAATATATGACTTGATATCCGGTTCACCCTTGTCGGTGCACTGGTAGCTGATGTACGCGTGCATGCCCTTACCGTTCTCCAGGCCGCGGTGAACGGCGAGCTTCTCCAGCATGGCGAGATACTCGTTGCAGTAGGCGCCACGGCCGCGCTCCCGGAGCCATGCGACTAGGTTCCTCGCAATCGTCAAATCATCGGGGCCATATTTACGCGTGGGCAGGTAGAACTTTACGTCGGGCGTGCCGCTCGAGGGTGCGATGTCGAAGAAGTACGTGAAGCCCTCGCACAGCGCGTCGAAGTCGTCCCACTTGTTGTCGCCGCTGGCGGACGCTGGAGCGAACTCAGCGTCCTCGGGGTAGTCCTCGGGCAGACCGAGAATGGCGAGGATGAGGGAGCGCAGGTCCTGCAGGCTGGCCTCAGAGACGTCGCGGAGCCCGCCCATGGTGATGACCTCCCGGACCGAGTTGAAGCAGGTATGGCGCGAGGTGAAGTACATCTTGAGGCGAGATTTGGACGGCGTTACGTTGTCCATGCCCATGACGTTGGGCTTCATGAGGCGGCCCTCGGGGCTATTGGCCAGGAAGTGCATCAGAGCGTCTCTGCCTGGATGCTTGCCATCTGGGTTCAGCTTCTTGATGGCGGCGTCCCATTCACCTAACGTCGCGGGGTCGCCGCCCTGGAAGAGCTTCCGCGGGAGGAAGTACGACTTGAGTCCGAAGCTGGCTTTCTTGTTGTACTCGACGGCATGCATCAGAGTCGTCGCTGGCGGCTCGCCCTCCTCCAGCTCCTTGGCGTAGACGGACCTGTCTGGATTGTACAGCTCTGCCAGGAAGTGGCGGTACCACGAGAAGTCGACGCCCGGGAGAGCGCTTGGCACTTGCTCCATATAGTCGAGCGTGGGATCATGGTTCAGGGGATCGGCAGCGGTTCCTGAGGAGCTGTTGATCGCCTCCCAAGAGTAGCGGATGTCGGGTTCGCCGGACGTGGTGTTCCATTTCCACGAGTACTCGAATGGCGAGCCGTCATAAGCGACGAGAGACTTGAAGACCGCAGTGCCATCAGGGTGCGGCGCTGGACCCAGCCTAGGAACCTAAATTAATTGTTGAGTTAGTGTTCGACCTGTAACAAAAGAGGAGCATGAAGTAGGCTGCTTACAATCCAGTGATAGTGAAAAAGAAGGGTTTCGTATTGCAGCTGGGTAGAATAGCCTGCCGCGTCGATCATGACTGCGAGGTGGTACCCGGTGAGATTCCACCAAAACTCAACGTCCTTATTTTCCGCTGGCGGGAGACATTTCTTGAGTGACTGCCAAACCACGAGTGACTTCTCTGGCTTCTCAGATTGAACTAGAGGTTGGGTTGTAAGCCCAGGCATCGTAGGCTAGGACAAACGAACACAGATTAAATGAGTAATTGGTTAACTCAGAGAGGCACGAAGACACTACTATGAGTATCCTTTTCAGCGCAATATATGGTGGTGAAGATGAGCTGATGTTGGCCGGTTTGCGTCCGGTGCAACTAGGTTGACGGGACCCGAGTTAGTATAAGAGCCACCTCGGGCCAATCATGAACAAAAGGAATTGCTTTGAAACAAGCGCCCCAGCCAGTGTTGGAATATGTTAAGCAGAATGCGACACGAGGTTTGCCTGCACATACTGTGTAAGCAACTGACACTAATGCGCATAAAGTGTGCGCTTAGTCCGAGTCAACTCGGCCCCGGACCCGACAACCTGCACCGCCCTAAACTACACAGCTGCTTCATGACCGAGGTATGGTGTACGATTAGATGAGCTGTAATTAGACCATTGACCAAATTGAATATTTTCTTCCTTATGAATCATGTGATTTAGAGAATGGTTCTCCAGTTCAGACCACATCCAGGTGGATAGGGTCGGAAAACAGTTCTAGAAATAAGTCTTGTTCTGGAGACACTGTGTGCGAAGAACACAGAGTTTCTGCGCAGACAAATTTTTTTGCTGCGTTGAAATCTAAGTGCCATTTTCTACGAAATGCCCGTAAACTATTTATGTGATCCTAACTACGAGTCGAAAGCTTGACGCGGAATCCCGAAGGCTTGGCAAGCCACTTGTTCTCAACAGTCCACTCCTCATCTTGGTTTTCTAATTGTATCTAGAGCGGGTTATCAATTACCGTGTATCAATTGGTAAGTACAGCCAGTATACTCACATTGTAGCGCTGCAACAATGAGGGAATGAGCTTGTATATCTCGAAATAGGCGAGGTGCTTCCCGAGGCAGCTCCGGTGGCCAGCGCCAAACTTGTGAAGCCAATAACGTTAACGCGATCCCGGTTGATGTCTTTCTTGTTCACAAGACTTACAGTCAGAAGTGTATTATACATAGTGGCGTGTTGCTCTTCATCGCACAGCCATCTCTCGGGTCGCCAGAGGTCCGGTTCGGCACCATACAGTGATACGTCGCGATGCAGCGACCACGGGTTCTAAAGAGTTGAAGTGAGCTGTCAGCATCAAAGTATCTTTCGAATTTAGTCATCAAATGATAAACAGTCGACTTACAATACCGATTCTTGTTCCCGGAGGAATGTGGTACCCGTCGATCTCCAGTCCACAGTCTGGAACTACGCGCTCGAAAGGGAGGGCGAACGGTGGATGCATCCTAGTGGCCTCTTTCACGCAGGCGTCAAAGTAAGTAAGAGCCTTAGATTCTTTCCAAGTCGCGAATTTGGAGAGTCGCCCCGCGGCGGTGGCATCGTCGATCTCCTTTTGAAGCTTTGCGAGTGAGGCAGAGTTTTTGAGGAGATGGTATAACAAGGCGCCAGACAAAATGCTTGTCGTGTCTGCACCTGCCACGATATTGGAATTGACCCAGGTGGGAAGGAACCTATTGCGTGTTGCGTCAGTCTGGCTGCGTCATTACCAAACCCGAGGTTCGAGGAGCTGTATGTAGGATCGTACATTGCAGGGAGAGTGCGGTCTTTGGCATTTTCGGCGATGAAGCTGGAGAGGAAGTCTTTTTGGTCGAGGTCGCCTTTGCCGCTCTCGATCAGATTCATTCGCTCCCTGATTCTAGCGGCACCGAACTCCACCAGTGGGTTTCTTTTCGCGGAGACGGGAATCAGGGGGTTGTCTCTCCACAGGCAGTCAAGCCAAGGCATCTGCGTATTCTGTTCCATGCAATACGGTTAGCATAGAGTTCCTTAGTAATCATACCAAGGATCGTATATTCTCACTTACCGCAGCAATTATATTGAAATAGCGCCAGTTGTTCTCAATGACGCCTTCAACATCGCCACCTTTATCGAGACATCCTAGTTCCTTGGAGAATGTGACTTCGCCAAGCACGTCGAACATGAAATATTGCATCCATTTGAAGAGGTCGACATCAACTTTCTTGTCTAAAAACAACTCGTCTAGTCGCTCGAACAGGTGTTGCATAGTAGAGTCGACGACCGGCTCAAACGACATCAGACTTGTGAGCGAGTACAGATTGGCGACGGGACGCCTCATTCGCCGATGAATATCCTCGTCGCGAGTAGCGAAGACGTCTGGGATCTTGCCACCCTTAATCCTTGGCATTATTGAATCGTAGAACTCGGACTATACCGGAAGTTAATGATGCGCCAAGACCTTTGCAGGACGTCGGGTTCTAATGACAGCGTTGCATACCTTTTCAAATCTTATCTTAAAACCGTAGATCTTCTCAATCGCATCAGGCTTGGAGACCATGACGGCATTGGGACCAAACCGCACAACGGTGCCATATTTGTTGTGTAGATTGGTGTGTATCTCGTGGGCGTTGCCAGTGTTGACCCATGATCGACGGATGAAGTTTGTGAGAGCTGCCGCAGTTGGTCCTGGGATGTGTCTCAACCGGATGTACGAACGCGCATTGTCCAGAACGAAGATGAAAACGACTAAGACCGCCAAGATACCAACTATGCGACAGGCTCTGTCATCGAATCGCTCAAAGAGTCCTTCTGCAATCATTGCGGCGGTGGTAATGTATCAGTGGATGAATGGCTGATAATCGCCAGCTTGGTATCCCCTTTCGCTCTCGCGACCTACAATACTAGTGACCAATTCCTGCACGACGGAGGCTTTAATGTGGTCGCTAGATGCCACACCCAGATTACATCACTCGGGTTATTGGCTACACCTATCCTAAGGTAGCCGGCTCATCGAATAACTCGGGTCCGACTAGTTCAGCTCGGCTGTGCCTGACGAGAGACAAGGTGTGTCAGGGATCACCCTTTCTGAGATCCGACACCAGAAGGAGAGATGTGCTATTTCCCCCAAGGCTGGTGAATAGAAGAACAGGGGTGAGGAGGTAGAGGCAGTCTCGTTTCTAAGCGTCCTGCTTCAAGAGTTGTTGATTTCTAATGGGCATATCTAAAGCGAACTTGCAGCAAATTCCTTTCTCCTAAACATCCGGTTATAAAATTTTCTTGCTTGTATTAACAATTCATAAAAATTTGACGTCGAAGCTAAGTAGCTTTTTATGTTGTAGTCTCATTTGATATCTCTCCCAATTCTCTCAAGCAAGAACTTGTAACCCTCCTTCACATAACCCCAACGACTTCCATCGGGATCCCGAAAGAGATCAAACAGATGAGGTTGACCAGGGGCAAGAGTAAGCCCCGACTGAATGCCCGCATCTCTCATGGCGTCCACCGTGCGCCGGGCCTGCTCCCATGGAATCAAGTCATCTCCAGTGCCAAAAACAACGTGCGTCGGTGACTTGTAGTTGCCCTTGACAATCTGGGCATAAGGACTAGCGCGCACCACCTCCTCTAATGAGGGCTGTTCCAACTTGTTATATGCGGCCGCGGCGTGTGATGACACGTCCGAGCCAGAAGGCAAGCCACGGAAGAGGACGGGCAGTGTCTGCCCGTGCCAGTTCATGTGCAGCACGACGCGGCTGCGGGGGTCTTTTGGTGCTATCCAGCCGGCTGCTGCCATCATTTTCGGAGGCACGTTGTATGCGGTGATGGGGGCAGAAGAGACCCCATCAATGACATTGTAGGTCTCATTTGCGAACCCACTTGAGTGATCTGGGACATTTGGCTTTCGCCAGAATTCGTCCTCATAATCAGTCGGGCAGTAAAAGACAAGAATCGCATCGGGTGCCGGGATGCCACGCGGTACGGAAGTCCAGGCCAAAGACATGGCCAGAGTGCCTCCAGTCGACCAGCCGACAACCACAGCTCTGTTGCGATCAAGAAGGCTGTTCGTCTTCGTTTGAGTCAGCTTCAGGTCTGGCAGAGTGTTCCTTGCCCAAGCATATGCGGTGGCAACATCAACAAGCGGCCCGTTGAGAATGGTCGCCTCCGGGCAAAGTCTGTAGTCCACGCTCACGGGCAAAACACCGTTGTCCAGAAGAAGTTGTATTTGACGCGGCCGTACATCCTGGCGTGACAGCATCACATGCCCTCCTCCATGGATTATAAAACCTGTAGCGGAGCATCGTCAGCTCCGGTGTCTATGTACAAAATGCGAACTTCTTGATTTAAACCATACCGGTCACCCAATTCCTATGCGCTGACGCCTGAGACCGTGAAGGATAGTGAATGTCTGCTCGAAGCGGAAGTTGCTTGTCTGTGTGCGTAAAGACGACTGTTTCAACACCGCCGGCCTTCTCTTGGGGTATGCTGCGATGTTGAGATGCATCCCGGACAGGCTGCTTAAAACCGGTGATGACCCTGCAGACCTCAGACTCGCGTTTGTGACCGCCCGTCCACGAGACGTGTTGAAACCCGACCTGTCTCATTGTATCGTCCCAGAACTCTGGGGTTGCGAGCACGTAGGGGCGGCCGTCGTCGTACAGCCACCAACCATCCAGGAGACCGAACACCATATCCAGCCAGTAGTTTCGCGTTGTAAGTTCAACGAGCGACACGAAGCCATGGGGCCGCAAGAGCTTGTTGATGTTGGTGAGAGAGTTGTGAAGGTTGGTAGTGGCGTGGATGCAGTTCGTGGCTAGCACGATGTCGTACTGCCCAAGATGCTGCGGCGCAGGCGGCTTCTCGATGTCTATGGTGTCATACTTCATGCAGTCGAGCCCGGCAAACTTGCGCTTGGCTCCGGACACCAGTGCGGCGGAAATGTCGGTGAAGGTATACTCGATAGGCACCCCCTTCTGCACAAGTCTGTCCACGACCCACCGCGTTGTTGCGCCTGTGCCCGCTCCAAGTTCCACGATGCGATACTTCCCGTCAGGTCCAGGGGTGGACTTGGACAACGCCTTCTCGAGGAAGGATGTGAGAAGTTGAGAACTGATGATGAACATGGGAGCCGTCGCGTACACGTCGTCAAGTACGCTGCGGTTTGCCTTGGTGCCAAAAAGAATCGATAGCGGATCCATCTTACCACTCAGAATCGCAGCCATTTTTGAACCACAGATATTCAAAAGTGTATGCTCTTTGGCATGCTGGGGGAACTCCGCAAGGATATCCTTGAAGCGGCTGCTGGAGGGCGTGGTGTCAACGATCTTCTCCGAGCGGACGTAATGCCTGCCATCGTAGTCGGCCAACTTGCTGCGTTGAAGAATTTTATGAAAAACGCCGAGCATGCGGTCATGTCTCGGTATAACTGGGATCTTGGGGATTACATCGCCGGGTCTCAGTGCGCTGAGGTCGGTGCCGAGGTCCGAGAAGGCCTCTACGACGTAGGAGAGAACCAGGTCTGCCTGTTTGTCGGCTACCTTGATGTAGAAGTCACTGAACCCGCACATGGCGGCGAACTTGTCGAAATCAACTTTGATGCCCTCGAACTCCTGGGCTGCACTGGCCAAGACTGAGCTAGCTGGAGCCGAGAGAAGCTTTTCTGCCTTGAGCGGGGTTTTAGTGCGTTCGATAGTAATGCTAGAGTCGGTGCCGTCTGTCGAATAGCCGGAGGACGGTGTTGGGGACGAGTCGGCTGTGCTAGGCTCCGTCGTCTCTGCATTTCCAACGGGTGTGGCGGCGCTGACGAGGATGTCAGTAAGATCCCCGAAGGTGCAGGTATCTGTGAAAGAAGATGCGTCGATAGAAACTCCGAACATCTCCTCCATGTCGCTCATCAGTTCCATGCAGAGAAGAGAATCCAGGCCGCGATCGATGAGATTCGTCGAGCGATCAAAGTCAGTTGCCGGGCACTCGAGATGATCTCCTAGCAGTTCTGCCAGTCGCGGTATCAAATCGACGAGCTCGTCTTTCTCTTGGAGACCGCTTGGCTCTACCGCTGATGCGGCAGGCTGGAATTCAGAGTTGAAGATGATGTTTCGACTCTCCTGGTTTGGGGGCTGAGTGAGAGGAACAGTGACAACGGGACCCTTCGGAACCTGAGGGTTACCCTTGAACTTCTGAGATGCTTGTTGAGCTCCATAGCCATCGAGGTATGCGCAAAGAGCTGAGAAGGTCTGCATGTCCTGAAGTTGGTCCTGCGGGATCAAGATGTTGAACACCTCGTTGACTTCAGACACAATCTCCGTAGCCATGAGAGAATCAATTCCCAACTCTTCAAGCGTGATGTCATCATGCAATTGATCTGCCGGGACATCTGTCATCTTGCTCAGCAATTCACGCAGCTCATCTGCCACGCTCGGAGCAATGGCAAGGCGAACTGGCGGTGAAGATGGCAGTATGCTATTGACGGCAGCTGCAATGCTCGGCAGAGAAATTGAAGCTAGCGATGGAGCCTTCAAAGGCGCTGCCTCAAGTTTGGGGGGGTTTATAGCTGTAGTCGAACTCCGTTGGGATGGTTTGGAGGACACCGCTTCAGATTTATCGGAAGGGTTCGCACGAGACAGAATCTTGGCGAGAGATGCCATCTTCACCCTGCTAAACTTAGCTCCAAAAGCAACAAAAACGAGCTGTCCGGTGATCTTGTCTGTGACAAAAATGTCGTTGCTGCTCTCTCTGTCGCTCGTAGCCGTGGATATCGCAAAAACATCCCAGCCAGGGCTGCTCCCTTCGGCCTGTGCCTTGCCGAAATCAGGCGACAATTGAACGCGGTCGACGTGTGTAGAGACGAGAACATCGTCTGGAGGACAAGGAGCAAGGCAGTTGGCGTATAGGCCAGGGACCTGAAAGAAGTTGTCGATGGCGACGGGTGTAGAGACGAGATCCTGTGTGCAGGCAGGCTGTGGCTTGGGCAAGACGACATCGGCAACGACGGCACCGTCGCTGTTGCCTGCGACTCTGCGGACGCCTTGGTAAATGTCGCCGTATTGAACGACCCTGGAGAACACTTTGTACACGAGTTTGCCTTGGACAGCTTCGCCGCTAGGCTGCCTAGCCATCTCGGTAAACATCTGACCCTTATCCTGGCTCTTTTGCATGCGATGAAGGAGCTTGCTGGTTCGTTCTAGCTCAGCCGTTATGCTCTTGTCGTTCGATGGTACTATCTCACACTTTCCAGTAGCATGCGTCGTCGAGACCTGCGACTGTCTACCTGAACGCTCTTGTGAGACGAAGGCAAAGTCGAACTTGTAACCTGTCTGGTCTGACGGACTCAAGATAAGCTGAACGATCCTATCCTGTCCCATTCCGAGGGGCGAGGGGATCTCCAGATCATCCACACGTGCAAAAGGGGCGCAAGCAATGTTCTCAATGGCCGCGAGCTGCTTGGTGGCCTGCATAACCAGCTCGATGTACATAGTCGCTGGGCAAAGTGCCTCGTTCAGCACAGCATGGCCACTAACAAGCACCTTCCAACATTCGGAACGAGGATCGATAGTGAAAGTCGCCTTCCTGGGGCCACTGGGTGCCCCATCTTGGAAACCGGATAGCGCAATGAGCACCGGCTCTAGCTCTGGCTCGACGACAAGAGACTTGGGTGCTTTGGCCGGCATTTGGGACAGCTCAGATGAGATCACTGCCTGAAGGTCGAAGTCCAGCCAGTGCCGCGTCTTCTCGAACTGGTAGGGGGGAAGATTCAGCGCTTGATAGCTTTGCTTCTGGATATGGTGGAAATGCCAGAATTGAACGTGGTGACCGTGCCTCCAGAGGTTGACGGTCGTGTCTGCTACTGAACTCAGCGCGTCATCCCGAGTTAAGTTGACGGGACAGAACAGGTGATCATCGGTGTTGCTGCTAGAAAGAGCGCGCTTAGCGATGCTAGTGACGACTGAGTTAGACCCAGCTTCCAGCCATGTGCATGCGCCGAAGCGAGCCTCAATACGTTTCACGGCATCTTCGAAGTAGACGGGCGAACGAGTGTGATCGGCGACTTGCTTGGCTGTGATGTCGAACCACGCCTCTCTCTTCGAGCAGGTCTCGAAGTGGATCCTGGGCTTGTTGAAAGACAAACCCTCGACAAGCTTCTCCAAGTCGGCAAGAATCGGGTCGCTGAACCTCGAGTGGAAGCCATGCGTCACATTTAATACCTTGGCTCTGCCCTTCGGACTTCTACTCATGAATTGAACGTGAGCAGCATCGACTGCAGCAGAAGACCCCACGAGAACATGACTTGAAGGCCCGTTGAAACAAGCTACCTCGAGACGGTAATCAGAAGAGACGTCCAGTCTTTGCACTGCTGAGATTATGTTCTTTGTGGTCTCGTAGTCGGCCTCAATTGCAATCATGGAGCCCCTTTCCGAGCCCCATTTCTGACGCATCAGAACGGCCCGCCCGTATACCAACTTGAGACCGTCCTCGAGCGACAGAACGCCGGAAACGACCATAGCAACGAGCTGACCGAAGGAATGACCCAGAACGCAGTCAATCTGCAGGCCGCATGCGATCCAGGACTGGGCGCAGGCATAGTGAAGGGCAAACTGCATCGTCTGCAGCGCAACCACGTCATCAACTGGCTTGGTCGCAAATATACCCGGATAGATCCCTGGGTGTGCAAAACCTTGGATTATATCATTGCACTCGTCAAGATACTTGCGAAGGAGTGCTGATCTGTCATAGACGTGTTTGCTGAGGCCCACAGAGCGGGAGGTCTGACCGCCGAAGATGATGACAACTGGACTCGGCTTAGGGTTGGTCTGGCAGAGAGATGACTCGGGATTTGAAACCACAATCTGAAGTTGCTTTTCCAACTCTGAAAGATCGGAAACTACCGTCGCAAGCATGTTTGGGAGAGTCCGATTCTGTCTCTCGCTCAAGTTGAAAGCGAGATCAGCCAGTATTTCAACTTCTGAAGCCGAGCCCCTGCGAAGGAAGGAAATGTAGTCTAACAGCTTGGCGACGTTCTCGCCGAGGCTCTTGACGCCGTTGGCAGTGATGATTACGGGAAATTTATCGAGGCTACTTGATGCGGTGGCTTGATAACTCCGCGCCAGCGTCGTCTTCGAAGGCGGTTCCCTGACAAGCATGGCGGCGATACTACCAGCTGCCCCGTAATTGTTCACGCATGCGATGAGTGTGTCGGCAGTCCAAGGGATGGTTGCTGTCGGGATTGACATTTGCCCGGGAACCAGGCTAATCTTAGGATGT